TCATCTGTTATCACTCAGTAATTGCTTTAGGTGTCAATGACGCCGCATCATATGTAACATATAACTAATATTATGGAAGTAATTTAAGTAACAACCTTGACTCCAAATGAGCTAAACAACCTTGGCTCTCGCTAAGTATAAAAAGCCTCAAAATAAACAACAAAAAGGAAATTTAAATTTTGAGCTGCATAAGGTATGCTTCACCATCTGTTTTAGTTAAAAACTTAAAATAAATTTCTCTTTTTACGTACTTTATCATAGTCTTAACAAGTTTCCTGGTTTTGTATAGATTATCGAGAAGTGGCTGGCCTATGATGCTATTGAGAATTTAATTTTCCTGTTCCATTTTAAATTTCTAGCTCGCATTGCAAAGCATGATGAATTTTTTGTTCATTCTAGTATTTGTTTATTTCCTAGGCCATGCCTCTTGCTCCTAGTGTTCTTTTCATTTTTGTTCTTTCTGGGCTTGTGTCAATTTTGTAACTCAAGTTTTTGTTGTTGTTGAAATACAGAAGCGTTATGAGGATATTTCAGTATTGGGACAGCGTCCGTCTGAATAAATTTGCTGTATTGAATGCTCATTTGAGTCGAAGACAAACATTTCAATTATCTTTCAATAATTATTTTCTTGCTGATCATGCTGGTCATGGCTGATTTTTTTTTTATGTATCTGCTAATCTTTGGGGGGAAATTTTAAGTGAAAAATGTTACTTACCATTTCCATGGTAAAACAAAGAACAGCCTTTGCATTGTTCAGTATCCTTGCAATTATCTTGTATTGCCAGAATGCTTCAATGCATTAGGAAAGAAGAATGATTCATTTAGATATTTATTGTTAAAGCTGGTACGTACCACTTCTTTGGTAGCAAAGAATAGCCTTCAATACTCTGTTACCTTGCAACTTTCTGTTTTTTTCACCATGCTTAAAAAACAAAATGAAAGAACCTTCCTTTTTCATACTAATCAAGACTGTACAGTAATCCATAAATGGATGAATTTGCTCCTTATGTTAGAAAGCTTGGTAAAACTTGACGAACAAAAATCTAGCCTGCTTAGGAATCATTAGCATTGCTTGAAAAGAGCATTACTTCTTTCTAACCCCCAAAGATCTTGGCTAAGTAATAAAATCCACTTTTGCTTCTTGAGTCAAGCTTACTTTTAGACTGTTTATCTATTTGATCTTGTTTGGCGTCTTTATGTCTGAATTTTATCTTATTTTCTACTACTACCTGCTCTTGATTCCAAGTCTTGAACATTTGGAAATTAAAGCCTGAAGAGCTAACATTACCCTTATTGGAGCTAGCAATTCACCAAAGGAAGAATAATCCATTCGCAAGATATCGCAACCTGAGAATCCTCCTGCCCCCAATCTAACCAGCTCGAAAACCTTACTAGCAACTTCCTTACAACGCCTCTTCGGCGTCTCACTTCCTCATGCTAATGAACATTCTTTTCGGAGTGGGGGAAAGGGGGATTCAGATTTCTGTGGTTATTTTCACTTAGAAGTTGTGGTTGAGCAAAATATTCCATCTTTGAGATCATATGAAAAACAGAATGTGAAACCTCGAGGCTTAAGCAGTCAAAATGTGCAGAATTGACATATTCTCACTGTTGATAAATAGATGGTCCTTCAATTGCAAAACAGAATTGAACTTAATAGGAACAAAATGCAGTAAGAAGAAGACTACCATGTAGTACTAAATCTGCAAAGGTTTTTAGGAACTGCTCTGGGATTTACCAAAGCAAAGAGAATCAAAATTGATTAGATGAAATTTGAGGTAGATCAGGAAAAGATGAAGAAAAGAACACGTTATGTAACGTCCTCCATATATCATTACAATTTTCTGCCCTTCAAATACAAGACTCCTGTAGAAGTCTTCACTCTTCTGATAGCAATATTTTCAATGTCTGTAAATCAAAGGTTAGTCAAAGCCTTGTCGAAGATTAAAAATATACTTGAACCGTATTCTCAATGCCGTTCATGTCCAACGTCCAGTACATTTCCTACTCATACAAGAATGCTGAATACTTGTCAAAAATCAACATCTGCTAGTCTTGATGTTATGAAATTGAAGGATGCTTGATTAATATTGCGCCCAACGCTCATTTGTCCAAACAGAGATGAAATCTTTCTCATTGGTTAAGCTTCTCAAATTACTGAAGAAGTTTTGAAATGATACAAGCTCGAAGATGGAAACTTTTTTTTGTTTAACTTCTTAAATCACTGATGAGAGCTTCAAATGATAGCAATTCAAAGTGATTGAGGACAGATTCTCATTCACTCTTTACAGCATGGTAGATGTGACGAATAAACATCAAGGAAGCATGTAGACTGATTGTTCCAAGCATAAGGAAAAATGCATAGCATATGCAAGTGTTATATAAAAAGAAGATGGCAGTTTGCAAGACCCCGCTCATGTTTGATTTGCAGTAGAAGAATATGGAGTACGCAAACATAAATACAGCTGTTGAGCCCCCACGGAAAATAGACCTGCATCAAACAACATATTTATCAGTCTATGGAGGCAACCATAGATGTTGTAAATGAGCTACCAAATAAGAAGATGAATAGCAAGCAGCAACTTAGTAAATTAAGTTACATATCAGTAATTTCTTAATAATTGTTTCAAAGTTTTTTTGGAACACGTTGAACTTTTGACTCCAGGTTTACATTTCACTCAACATATACATTGATCCAGCACATATGGGGGTTCAACGACTGTTCAATAATACTCAGTTGTCATCCATTTCTGTCACACACAAAATACTCACAGCATCATTGATTCCATGAATCACTCAATAATGTCATAAAACACAACAACGTAGTTACTGCATTGAAGCAAATAAGAAATCATTCAACATTTGAAGAAATTTGCTGATAGCCTCCACTGTGGTTAGTACTGGGTAGGGGTGTACATAGGTCGGGTTGGTTCAGATTTTACAATTACCAAACTAAACCAATTGTGTCGGATTTACTAAATTTAAAGACCAAACCAATAAAACTCGGGTTTTTCAATCTCGGATTTTCTCGGATTTTCGGGTTATTCGGGTTTTTTTGGATTTTTTTCCGGTAAAATCTTCGTAGAACAAAACATATAACTTGTGCTCAAAATAATTCTTTAATCCTAATAAGATACAACTATATAAAGTATTTTCCAAGAAAATAATACAAAATATGAGATGTGTCATGGCATTATCCTAAAATATTCAACAATAAAGACAAAAAAATTATGTAATATGAATATTGTTAATTAAAAAGTCATAATAAAAATAAACATAATCTAGAAGTACTAAGTCATGCTAAAATAAGTAGACTAATAAGGGAGTACTAATTACATGACTAAACGCTAAAAAAAATAAAAATAGGTTATGCATTTTTATCTAAATTATTACAAAACAAAAAATAGATATTCAAACATTCCCGTTCGTAGTATTGAATTGAATGTCTATTGTTAGCATTAACATTGATTTGATTTTGGCTTGGACTTTTGTTAGCATTATTTAATTTACAGTATTAATGACTATAAAACTTATTGGAACATTCAAAAGTTCTAAGTCCAACCTTGAAATAATACCTTAAAAGATAAAATTATGATTTTTTTTAAGAAATATTTATAAATTACATCACAATAAGTATATTTATATATTAAATATATCTAAAAATTTTATATATGTAATATAGGGTTAATTTGGTTTCGGTTTGACTTTCTTTAGTTAAAATCAAACCAAACCAATTATGGTCGGGTTTTTTTCCCAACACCAAACCAAATCAAATCAAACCATAGTCGGGTTTTTTTTTTCCGGTTTGACTCGGATTATCGGGTTGGTCCGGTTTGTCAGTTTCCTTTGTACACCCCTAGTACTGGGTACTAAGTTCTGGATAGTGCAAATATTATCTGCATATTACCATTCTGCCTTATAATTTTGTTGAAATATGAAGTAAAACTAGGTTAAGGAGAAACTGTATTTTTTAATCCCATAAAAGTCAAAACGAATTCAACCAGAGCTCCATCAATTAGCACTCAAAGAACGAAAAGAACAAAGATATAAAGATGGACAAGATGTGTATGCATGCAGTCTTCAGGTATGACTAGTTCAAAGAAAAATCCAAATTGATACATACCGCCACCACCATTCATGGTCTTCCACTGTCAGCTGAATGTATGTCAAACTGATGCTTAAGATCACAGTGAGCATTATGAGGATTATAAACATAAAAAATAGAATACCAGGAAGAGTCGAAATTTTGTAGCCCCAAAGGGTTGCATACAACTGGTGTAACTCAACAACAATGGCGCTGAACGGTAGAAGACCAGCCAGAAGCATTTGACCAGGTGTCTTCCTGTACCAAGCTAGTGATGGTATCTCTCTTGCACACTTTTTTGTGGCAGAAGGTGCTTGAAACTCAGACCTACACCGATAGCCAATTATCCCACCAAGAGCAAGCAGTGGCATAGCAATGAGGGTATAAACAAGAACAATGACAAGTGTAGTGCCAAATGGAATTGCTAAAGTAGCCCCAAATGATGCAGCGACTAAATTAAGGAAAAACTCCATTAAGAGGAATGGTCCAAGAAAGAGCACGGCAGAGAAAGTAACGCTCCTTTCCTAGTGGCGAAAAGAAAAATTTTCAGTTCCTGGATTAACAGTAATTATAGAAATACAAAGCTGGAAGAAATTAATAAGTCACCCATCCAGTTTCAACAAATTGACTGTAGAAAGCGGCAGATCTGTATCCGGCAACTGCAGATGTAAGGGTATAAATTATGACCAAGGATGTGAAGAGCGTTCCACGGTTATATGGATATAGGACACCAAGAAACGCCAAAACAAATAAGAAGAAGAACCTGTAAATGCAGCAGAAACCATTAACTAAAGCCAAAGATGTGCCTTGCATGATCAATTAAGTAATATAAATACGTCAAAATAATCATGCAGTAAACACCACCCTTACATGGAAGTATTTTTGCAGCTGATGGAAACCATACCAATTATTTAGAGAATACATAGGACCTTTTCCATATCTAAGCTCTTATTGTCAAGGTTAAACAAAAAAAAATCTCAAAGCTATCTTTCCATTATTATTTCTAAATTACCAGAACAACGCAGAGAAGATAAATGAAGCTGATAATATGCAACATTTGCTGGGATAACATTGTTACCAAATATGAATCGCGAAGGCAATGTAAGAGTTTGTCTGGAAAATGAAAGATCGCTGACGGAAGCTGGACAAAATAGAGCTCACCTGCCAGGGTCTCCAGGTATATTTTGTTAAATGGGATTGGTTGGGATTGAGAATTGGCAAGATGGGTAGGGCTCAAAATAGAAGAGCAGTGCGGATGTGGGTTCTATAAGACGGTCAGGTGGACAGCAATAGGTAAGATAAAATAAGAAATTGGCCAAGGTGTAGAATGTAAGTTGGTAACTAGCTGTCTTGAGCGTTGCAGTTTGACCTGTTGATTCGCCAGATTCTCACTTTGGATTCTTCTTTCCTTTTTTCATTTTTGCCCGAAGGTCCAAGTCACATCGCAGTAAAATTTCTCTTCAATTTGAAGACGAGGCAAGTCCCCAGCAACCAGTCTAAAACGAGGGAAGACCGACATTCAGGAGGCTTTACCCGCATCACCATCACCATTGTTCCATCAGTGGCTCAAATAAGTAGTCAAAACAAATGCATGTGACTAAGAGATGATGGGGAGGCAACTCCTAGAACTAGACCTCCATAAATGTACTTTATTCAGAAAATAAAGTCGCAGAATAGAGCCTGGAGATACAGCATCTTGAGTTAAATATCACAGGCCCAAACTTATGCACAGAGATCTTCTCTCAATGATAAGTCGGAAAAGAAATAGAAGATGGCTCACTGGTCA